GCAGCCCTACTATATACAGGCAAAAATATGCTGAGAAAGAAATAAGAGAAGCATCACCCTTTACAATAAACACAAATAACATAAAATATCTTGGGGTATGCTAACCAAACAAGTGAAGACCTATATAATGAGAACATTGAATCTTTAAAGAAAAAAATTAAAGAAAATATCAGAAAATGAAAAGATATCCCATGGTCTTGGATAAGTAGAATCAACATAATAAAAATGGCAATCTTGCCAATAGCAAATCTACAGATTCAATATAATCCCCATCAAAACAATAAAGGAATTACCAGAGGCATCACCATCCCTATTATAGAGCTGTAGTCCTGAAAACAGGCTGGCATTGACATAAAAACTGATGAGTAGAATGATGGAATTGAATTGAAAATCCTGGTATTCAATGACTGATGGAAGCAGAGGCAGACACCCACAGCTAAACACTGAACTGAACTCAAGGAACCCAGTGTCGGAGAGGGAGGACAGATGAGCCTAGGGGTCAAGACTGGACTTGTTTAACCCGCAGATACAGCTGACCGGACAAGGGTCAGCTCTTGAACAACAGAATGATGGCTGGGAATCCAGCATGGGACTGATCCGGACCCCCTGAATGCGGGTGTCAATGAGGAGGCCTAGGCAATCTATGGAGTCTTAGGTAGTAGATCAATATTTATCCCTGGCATACAAATGGACTTTGGGTGCCCATCCCACAAAGAGAGATGTTATCTTAGGGGGGAGCCTAGGCCCTGCCCTGGATGAAATGACAGACTATGGACACCCTCCACGTAGGGTCTCACCCTCCCTGGGGAAAGGAGTGGGAAGAAAACAAAAAAGAAAATCCTGGTATTAACTCAAACACCTAATTTTTGACAATGAACCAAAATTATACAATGGAAAAAAGAAGGCATCTTCAACAAATGGTGCTGGCATAAATGGATGCTGCTGTGTAGAAGACTGAAGATAGATCCATAGATCCATATCTGTCACCTTGCACAAAACTTAAGTCCAAATGGATCAAAGACCTCAACATAAATCCAGCCACTCCGAGCGTTTTAGAAGAGAAAGTGGGAAGTACCTTGAGCAAATTGGTTCAGGAGACAGCTTGCTGAACATAACACCAGTAGCACAGACATTGAGGTTGACAATGAGTAAATGTTATCTCCTGAAACTGAGAAGTTTCTGTAAGGCAAAGGACACAGTCAACAAGACAAAATAGCAGCCCACAGAATGGGGAAAGATATTCAACAAACTCACATGGGACAGAGGGCTGATTTCCAAAATATATAAAGAACTCAAGAAGCCAGTCACTGAACACCAAATAATCTAATTAAAAAAGCAGGATACACAACTAAATAGATAATTCTCAATAGAGTAACCTAAAATAGCTGAAAGACACTTTAAAAGTGTTCAACATCCTTAGCTATCAAGGAAATGCAAATCAAAACAACACTGAGATACCCCCTTACTCCTATCACAATGGCTAAAATCAAAAACACCAAGGAGAGATTATGCTGGAGAGGATGTGGAGAAAGGGGAATGCTCCTCCACTGCTGGTGGGAGTGCAGCCGCTTTGGAAATCAGTATGGAGACTCCACAGGAAAATGGGAATCAGTCTATCACAAGATCCAGCAATTTTACTCTTAGGCATATACCCAAAAGATGAACATTCATATAACAAGAGCATCTGTTCAACTATGTTCATAGCAACATTATTTGTAATAGCCAGAACCTGGAAACAACCTAGATGCCCCTCAACTGTAGAATAGATAAATATAATTTGGTAAATTTACACAACGGAGTACTCAGTGGAAAAAAATAACACAGTGGAATCTTGAAATTTGCAGGCAAATGGATAGAACTAGAAGAAACCATCCTGAGTGAGGTAACCAAGTCACAAAAAGACAAACATGGTATGTACTCACTTGTACATGGATTTTAGACATAGAGCATAGGATTACCAGCCAATAATCCACACTGCCAGAGAAGCTAGGAATCAAGGAGGATCCTAAGAGAGACATATATAGTTCCCCAGAGAAGGGGAAAGGGACAAGATCTCCTGAGAAAATTGGGATCATGGGGGAGGGGGGAGAAAGAGTTAGAAGAAAGAGAAGGGGAGAATCGGAGTGGAAGGGAGGACATGAGGGAGCAAGAAGATTGAGTCAGGGGAAGAATAGAGGAGAGTAAGAAAAGAGAGACCATAATAGACGGAGCCATTATAGGTTTAAATAGAAGTCTGGCACTAGGGAAATATTCAGAGATCTATAAGGATGATACTAACAATCTAAGCAATAGAGGAGATGTTACCTTAAATGTCCTTCCCTGATAATGAGATTGATGACTACCTTATATGCCATCCTAGAGCCTTCATTCAGTGACTGATGGAAGCAGAAGCAGACACCCACAGTTAAAACGGAAGTAAGCTCTTAGGATCCAGTTGCTGAGAGGAGGAGTGATGAGCAAAGGGGTCAAGACTAGACTGGAGAAATCCACAGAAGCAGCTGACCTGAACAAGGGGGTGCTCATAGGCCCCAGACTCAGAGCTGGGAAACCAGCATAGGACTGGCCTAGACCCTCTGAAGGTGGGTGTCAGTTAGGAGGCCTGGGCAATCTATCGGTCCTCTAGTAGTGGATCAGTATTTATCCCTAGAATACGAATGGACTTTGGGATCCCATTCCAAATAAAGAGATACTCTCACAGCCTAGACACATGGGGGAGGGCCAAGGTCCTGCTCCAAATGATACGACAGACTTTAAAGATCCCCATGGAAGGCCTATTTCTTTCTGGGGAGCAGAAAATGGGATGGGATAGGGGGCTGTTGGTGGGCAGGGGAGGAGGGGAGGGAGAGGGAACTGTGATTGACATGCAAAACAAGTTTTTTTCAAATTTAAACTATAAAAAAGAAAAAAAAAGGGTTTTTTCATATATTATGCATACAGTATTCAGCCTGCAGTTATGCTTGGATGCCAGAAGAGGGCACAAGATATCATTACAGATGGTTTTGAGCCACAATGTGGCTGTCAAGAATTGAACACAGGACCTTTGGAAGAGCAGTCAAGTGCTCTCCTGGCGCTGTTTAACGTCTTGATAAAAACTGGGGAAGGACTGATCAAGACCCCCTGAATGTGGGTGTCAGTGAGGAGGCCTAGGTAATTTATTGAGCCTTGGGCAGTAGATCAGTACTCATCCCGAGTATACACACGGACTTTGGACTCCCATCCAACAATGTGAGATGCACTCTCACCCTGAACTCTTGTGGGAGGATTTAGGCCCTGCCCTGGATGAAATGACAGACTATGGACACCCCCATGAAGGGCCTCACCCTCCCTGAGGAAATGAGGGGATAATGGGGGGTTAGGGGAGAGCACGGGAGGAGGGGAGGGAAAGGAAGAGGGACCTGGAACTGACTTGTGAAGCAACCTTGTTTCTAATCTAAATTTAAACTTAAAAATAAATAAAAAAAACTTTAAAAAAACCAAAAAATAAAAACAAGCAAACAAATAAATAAATAAATAAAGTAAAAAAAAAAAAACTGGGGAAATCCAGATACACTCTTCTCATTAAGCTGGAAGAGTCCAACTGATAGAGTTGTACCTTGATGTCAAGGCTAAATTTCTGCTTGGAGTCCTGCTAGTCCTCTGGTCATTATATTTCAACACCAACACCTTCGTTTTTAAATCTGCTTGATCATTTCTCTCAAGAATAATCTAAAGGAAAGATTTTGAATGCTGATTGCTCCCATTAGTAGGCATCTTGTGACTGTCACACAGGATGACAATAATGACAAAATTCTCATAACCTTTCATGTAAAGGCCACCAGTTTGTTGAGCCACATTTATAGGTGTCCTGAGCATAATGGGCATCTTCTCTACAAGGAAATCATTTTGGCTGTTAGGGTGTGAAGCATAAACACTTTCAAATCTCACTCAGTCACTGTGTCTAGACACTAGGAAAGCCTCTGATGCAAGTTAACAGTGACAGATACTCTGGTGTAAGGCCACCAGCACTCACCGGGACATTCCACTGAATGTTATACTTGGTCCATGGCCTGTGAAACTCTACTGTCGCACCTGCTGTGCAGCCTGCATCCAAGAATGTAGCAAGGTGGTCAGGATAGATGACACAGAGACCGGTCGGTTGCTTTAAGAAAACTTTATGCTTCCCAGATTGGCTTAGGAGCACCTCAAGTCCACTTAGGAGACTCCCAAGAACCCCCCCTTCCCTTTTTAAAGACTTCTCCCATCCATCTACATACAATTCTTTCCAGACTTCTCACCCTCCTGGCTGGTGGTTTAATCTCCAGCCCCAGAATCGTGGAGAAACAGCAGGGAGCACAGGAAGAAGCATCTAGCCATAGGGGGTGTCAAAGTCATGGTGTTTCAGTGAGCAAGCCCTTATCTGAGCCCTATCAAGAGCTTTATAGCACTGAATTGTTTTCAGTAAACATTATCTCACAGCTGCCTGCTCCCAGGCCGAAGGGGAAGTGGGTTTCTGCTCAAGGTCTGGTGTCCCCACACTCTACCACGAATCCAAGGATCAAAAGACATTCAGAAATTATCAGGCATTACCTCTAGTCCTCTCATCATCTAAACTAAATTGGTGATTGTTGTTTATTGAAAAGATCCTGCTGTATTTATCATTTTTTCCAGGTTTTAAAACTTTGTATTTGCATATTAAAAAATTGTGCATTCCAATAAATAAAATCACCTGAACAAAAAAATGGCACTCTGCTCAAACTGCATTTTACATCCTGCAGGCCACCTTGAACCATCATGAATGTATTCCATATCTCACCACCTCCCACCCACCTTTTTGTTTCACCAACATGCAAGTTCTCTTCCCTCCCTGCCAGTCAGACTGACAGATGGGTAGGGGAGGCAGGGGAAGCCTTCCTGGCGAGTAATTCTGATTCTTTGACGTGAAAGGGGCAGCACAGTCATTTAAACTTGATCCAACCTCTTTGTATCTTACAAATTTAAACAGCCAAAAGAAGTAAAATAAAGAAGGCATTGCTTGTGGAATGGACAGTGCATATTGGCGGCACTCGCCTCGTTACGATTCGCCAGCTTGCTTCTCCTGTTCAATTGTTTCTTTTGAAGGCAGAGGATTTTTCTCTCGTGTTTCTGTCTTCTTCGATTTTTCAATCTCAGCCATATCGGGTTTGTCAGACATGGTTGCTGGAAAGAGCAAGCAAGGTGCACGAACAAGGAGATTCAGGTCTGCTCAGAGGATGCTGCCGATTGCTTTTATCATTTTTTAAAGAAACCAGAATGAGAAAACCATGCCTATAAATGCACAACATGGGGACTGCAAAGATGGTTCAGTAGTTAAGAAGACTAGCTGGACTTCCAGAGGTCCTGAGTTCAATTCCCTGCAACCACATGATGTCTCACAAAGATTTGAAATGAGATCTGGTATTCTCTTCTGGAGTTCAAGCATACATGCAGGCTGAACACCATAGATAATAAATAAAATAATTTAAAAATGCATAACGTGTCTAGCATATATGCATTCTGCATTCCAGTAAAGTATGTTGGTGATTTGATCTCAGGTAAAGGCTTTAACATGATTAAATGAACTCCAAGTATTTGTGCTTTGTGGGAGCTGCCAGGAATAGTCCATTTACCAAGCTGATGTAACAGGGGGCCATTGACACTGACAGCAAGAACCCCATGTTTGTATAGATAACAGAAAGAACTGAACATGAATTGGTTATCCCAGACTCAGTAGAGTTCTGTTGTTAATTCTTACTGCAAAAGCTTGAGCTCAGTAGGGGACAAGGGTAGCCTGAAATTTTGTCACTATGTCAGGGCTACTCCTAGTCGGGAATGTTTGGGGAGATATTATCCTTTGGAAACTACGGCCAGAGTCACTGGATAGAAAGACTTGCGCAAGGATACATTATGCAAGCACATTTATCTACTCTTCAAAAGAAGAGGAGACCTAAGGTCACTAGGAGAGTGTCAGGCCCTCCTTTCTGAGGTCTAGCACTAACACAGAGAGACGTTGTAGCTGCTTGCTGTGGGGACAAGCTGACAGAAACACAGATGGGAATGCCCACACCTTTGTGTAATATCAGCAGGATTCATTGAGAAAAACCGTCAGTCACAAAGTGTAGCAGTTACAGTGTGTGTGTGCTGATGTGCATGGGACAGTCCCCAAGCTGCTATACCTGAGTACCTGGCCCTGGTTGGTGGTGCTGTTTAGTGTGGCTGAAGAGGTTTGTTTGTCCTAGAGAAGTGGCTCTGAAGCTTCTTAATACTCACGTCCTTTGATACTGTTCCTCATGTCCCGGTGACCCCAACCATAAAAGTCTTTTCATTGCTATTTCATAAGTGTAATTTTTGCCACTTTTATGAATAATAATGTGAATTTCTGCTATGCAGGATGGTCTTAGTCCACCATTTGGAAAGGATCATTTGTCACACAAAGGGCTCACAGCGCACAGGTTGAGAAACGCTGCGCTGGAGGAAATGCGTCACTGGGGGAGGGCGTTGGGACTTTGCAGCCTTGACCTGCTTCCACTTTCCTGTGTGCTTCACATGTGCACTGGAAGATGCCAACTCTTTCCTTCCTGCTACTGACTGCATTACTGTCACTTGCCACTAGGCCTTTCTGCCAAGAGTGACTCTTGGGAATTTGGAACCATAAGCCCAAAGAGACACTCTCTTCAGGTCATGGTATTTTACCACAGCCAGAGAAAAGAAACTAAAATGGAGTGAGAACAATTGTATACAAACTGCAAAAGTTGGTAGCCTATTTCCAAATTTAGTTATTAATGTTAACTCTTATATCACACAGTACCCAAGAAATAAGTATACTACCCACACATATATGTTACACAATGAATAAAAGCTTAAAAGGCTACTGCATAGTTCAAGGTATCAAAAGAAGAGTGTGAAAGATCCCATATGAAAAAGAGCCATAGATGAGTTAGAGGGCAAGGGGTGTCTGTTAGTAGAGACAGCTGGTGTTGTTGCCCTGGTCAGACCAAGCGCAATGCTGATGATTTAGTCTATGAGTCAAAACGCATACCCAGGTCAAGGATAAGAGCTGCAAGTCAGGTAAAGGGCACAAAATGTGGTCAGGGGAAAGGATCTGCAGCAGAGGAGACTGCATCAAAGGAGGGTACTAAGGCTGGTCACAGAGACCTCAGACCTTGACATAAACAGCAGTATCAGATGACAGGGTAGTGTGGGGCTGTGACATCCCAGTGTTGGCTGTCTATCTCTCTGTGGATGCTATCCAAGGACACAAGACACAGCCTTTCCTCAACCTGGTTTTCAGGTAAGTTCTTGGGCCTAATTTCCCTGAAATGCCTTTTAATTTGTCACTTTTTAAATTCTGTATAACAATCTTTTTACTCACATACTTTTTTTTAATTCTGGGAGTTTCACATCATGTAATCTGATCACAATGTCTTCACTGTCCTTCCATGACCACCACCCCCTCTGGGTTCTCCCCAAATAAAGTCACAATATCAATCAATCAATCAATCAATCAATCAATCAATAATTGAGAAGTAAACAAGAAACTCTAATTTGTGTTATCTATATACTCACTGGAACACGGTTCAGTGTTTAGTGGCCTTCCCCTTCAATACAACCGAGTCCTCCCTTTCCCATAACTCTACCTATGCCTCAGAAGCTGTCAGTTGTGAACAGCTACTCTTCACAGTCTCTCTCACAATTTTTGTTTGTTTGGTTGGTTTTTTATACTGGATTTCTTTTTCAGTTCTGCCTTTCCTGAAATTCACTCTGTAGACCAGGTTGTCCTCAAACTGAGATAAAGACCTGCCTCTGCCTTTTGCATCCTGGGAGTAAAAGCAAAGGTTCGGGAGTTGGGGGTGGTAAGGAGAGTTGATGGATGGTACCTGACTAAGATGACTGACAGTTCTGTAACACTTTCATTTTTTTGTTGATGTTTTTGTTTGTTTGTCTGCTGGTTGGTTGGTTGGCTGGTTTTTCAAGATAGGGTTTCTCTGTGTAGCTCTGTGTGTCCTGGATCTCTCAATGTAGAACAGGCTAGCCTTGAACTTATGGAGATCTGCCTACCTTTGTCTCCTTAGAGCTGGCATTAAAGGCATGTGCCACAAACATCTGGCTCTGTCACACTTTTTAAGAGTTCTCTTTATTGGCTTCCTTTCTAGGCTGTTATGATTTTTTAGGGGATATGGGTTGTCATAAAACCCTTCCATGTCTGTCCCTGTCAACTGTGTATCTGCAGTCCCAAAGATATCAGCCCAAAATATATGACCCCTGCAGCCTGGGGCTAATACAGAGCAGACCAAGACACAATTGCACCAAAACTTGGGGCTGAGAATGAGGCAAAGAAGTAATGGACACCATAGAGGAGTGGACACCACAGGTGTACAAGTGGGAAAAGAAGCACGAGCAGAAAAATAGAAGTGGCATGCGGCGAGTTAACAGTGTTAGGTCAGGAGTAATATTTATATAATCTTAGAAGTGAACACAGATCATTGCAGATATGAAACAGGAAGATATCAGTCAGATGACAAAGAAGAGAAGTGTGGTTAGTTAACCTTAAGTGTGAAAATGTGCACAAGTGTAGATATGGAACAGAAAAACGTCAGTCAGACGATAAAGAAGTAAAATGTGAAGAGTTAGCCCCCTGAGTAAGAAATGCAGATAATTGTAGATGGGAAACAGGGAAATATTAGCCAGATGATAAAGAGAAGTGAGTTAACATTGAGAGTAAAAAATGTATATAAGTAGAGAAATGAGACAGAGAATTATTAGTCAAATGGTTGTACATTTACTTGAGTATATTTCAATAGCCAGGAGAGTGGAAGTAAAGCAGAGGCAGGTACAGAAATCTTTAGAGATTGAAAGTTTTGTACAGATCCTTTTCCCTTGCAGAAGCCACGGCAGCAGATGTCTCAGAGCTGCTTCGGGGCCTGAGGAAGCCAGGGTGGGACCCCACATGTACACAGAGCAATGTGATTGAGACGAGTGTGAAGAGAGAGTTACTGAGTACCAGAATGGAGAGTCTTCCCCTCCCGCATTTTTGACTAGGGATACAGAGAGGCAGAAACCTGGTGGTAAGATTCAACAGGAGCTGAGAGACTTGAAAGAATTAGTGGAATCACTCTCACTGGAGATAAAAACTTTTCAGGTTTTCTCAGATGTGAGAAACATTCCTTAGTCTACTACAATAACAAGGATAGATCCGACTAAAATTCAGGCACCCCTCAAGTCATGCCACACAGTCTCAGCGGGTCAGGTGTCTCCAGTGCAAGCTAATGTTAGAGAAGCAGCGGACAGAGGAGAAGATGTGCAGGGATTTCAGACACTTCCTGGAGTAGAGAGCAGGGATGCTCAAGGAAACAGGCAGAGTGCATCCGCCAATATCATTTAAACAGCTCAAGGAACTACAAATGGCTTGTGTTCAATATGGACCAACAGCAGTTTTTACCAACATGCTAATAGAGAATATTGCTCTACAAGCTCTACCACCAGGAGACTGTAAACAGATAGGCAAGTCCTACCTATCAGGAGAGGATTATCTGTTGCAGAAAACAGAATTTGCAGAGCAGTGTCAGATGTCAATTGAGAAGAATAAAGCCCCAAAACTTCTTTCTTATGAGATGCACGCCTACACACTGGGGAGGGGCAGTAGAAGAATATAGATCAGCAGTTAGGTTTTGAGATAACAGTGTATGGGACATTCGCACAGATGCCAAAAGAGCTGGAACAAGTTTCTAGCTGTTGGGCCACAGCCTGAAAACTTAACATAGATCAGGCAAGGACCTGATGAGTTGTTTCAGAATTTTGTCTCTAGGCTAATGTCACACCTGCTGTGCAACCTGCATCCGAGAATGTCGCAAGGTGGTCGGGATAGATGACACAGAGACCGGTCGGTTGCTTTAAGAAAACTTTATGCTTCCCCAGTCAGCTTAGGAGGAGACTCCAAGTCCGCTTAGGAGAGAGAACTCCCCAAGAAAAAAAGAGCTTCCCTTTTTAAGGACTTCTGCCATCCATCTACATACAATTCTCCAACAACTCTCCCAGACTTCTCACCCTCCTGGCTGGTGGTTTAATCTCCAGCCCCAGAATCGTGGAGAAACAGCAGGGAGCAGGAAGAAGCATCTAGCCATAGGGGGTGTCAAAGTCATGGTGTTTCAGTGAGCAAGCCCTTATCTGAGCCCTATCAAGAGCTTTATAGCACTGAATTGTTTTCAGTAAACATTATCTCACAGCTGCCTGCTCCCAGGCCGAAGGGGAAGTGGGTTTCTGCTCAAGGTCTGGTGTCCCCACAGGCTAGTGCAGGTATTATTCAGAATAATGCGAGCTACAGAGGCTGGACTTTTGGTCATAAAAAACTAGCTTATGAGAATACTGATGCTTCATGCCAGGCTGCGCTAAGACCTTACAGAGAGAAAGATGACATAGAAGAGTTTATTAAGATTTGTTTAGATACTGTGCTGGTGTACACTCAAGGGTTAGCTTTGACTGCTACCTTACAAGAGACTACAGTTAAGGATATATTATTCCTACAGACAAAGCAAGGTATACGGAAGAGGAAAGGCACAAATCCTTCTGTAGGTTGCTTTGGATGTGGCCAGAAGGGGCAACATGTTACCTAGCATCCCAACAGAGGAGAGAATAGGGAACCAGGCTTGTGCACAAGAGGCAAGAGAGGAAAGCAGCCACAGATGACCTACAGCGGACAGCACAGACCCAGAGGGCAAAGGCAAGATAAAGCCAAGGCCAAAACCGAGGAAGCTGGCAGTCTTTAGAGCTGCTGTGCTGCTGTGTTTGTTGCCCAGCCAAGTATATGGAAAATGCCAATGAATGCAGCCAGTCAGAAACTGTTTTAAGACCTGGTAGAAAGCCAGGCGTTGGTGGCGCACACCTTTAATCCCAGCACTCGGGAGGCAGAGGCAGGCGGATCTCTGTGAGTTCGAGGCCAGGCTGGACCGACAGCCTCCAAAACAGAGAAACTCTGTCTTGTAAAACAAAAAACAAAACAAAACAAACAAAAAAAAAAGACCTGGTAGAAAGAAAGGCGACATAGATAAGTTCAGATTTTTGATGCTCACAATTAAAGGATTGGCTATAGCTGTTGTGTTACAAGAGATATCAATTAAAGATGTTTCTTTTCAACAAACTAATCATGGCCTAGATAAAAGGATGACTGAAAGATGTATGCATGTTCTGCATGTGTGGTGTGGCCACACATGTGTGTTTGAAATGTGATGTGAATGCATGAATCTTAACAAAAAACTACATGAATTGCTTTGGATATAATTGAAAAGGGGATCAAGTCAGTAGTGTCTTAACAGGAAAGGTTGGTGATTTGCACCTCCCACAGCTGGCCCTCAGAGCCCATCAGCAGGAAATGCCGATGCAGCATGGCCTGAAATCCAAAAGAATCTGTATGGATGATTCAATAGCCTTTAGCAGAGGAGACGATACAGAGATCCTCCTAATTTTGGCATTAAAAAAGGAAATCAGGGAAATGGAGATTGATACAAGTTTTGAAAAAAGTAATTGAGAAATAGCCTCAGGGAACTACTGCTCTGTTAGGCCCTGCCTAGGAAGGAGTCTGTGTGAATGCAAATGAGACCATGTCAGCTAGTGAAAGCTTTACAACTCAGATTAGAAGCAAACTTAAAGTAATTTTCAAAAATTGTTTGGGACATACGTTATATCCTAAAGAAATGAAGCCTCAAAAATTAGAAATGGGAAAAGATAGCTGGCAATCTTTAGTCAATTTTCAGAAGTTGTAGGGAAACATTCAATGGTTACCTCCTTTGTTAAGAGTGCCTACTGGTGATTTGAAGCCTATAAGTGATATTGTAAAAGGAGATAGTGATCCCAATTCAGCTACAGAGTTTAACTGAAGAGGGTAGACAAGTTCTGCTACGGTTGGAGAATGAAATCCAGCATCAACAAATATGTTATATTGCCTATGCAAAACCATGGGAAGCTTATGTGCTTCCCAGGCAGCATAGTCCAGAAGCATAGTCCGAATTATTGTCGCAGGAGGGACCATTGCTGTGGTTCCAACTGCCTGTTTCCCCAAGAAAACATTTAAATCCCTATTTTGAAGCAGTAGCCTGTATCATGCAGAAATGCCATGTGGAATCTAAGAGATATTTTAGCGGAGAACCAAGTGTAATGCATGCTCCTTATACCAAATAGCAAGTTGATTGCGTATTTCTAAACAATGATTCCTGGGCAATCGCTTTTGCTCAATTCTCAGGAAAAATTGATAATCAGTTTCCAGCTCATAGACTGTTACAATTTGCTCTAATGCATCCTTTTATATTCCCCAAAATTGCAAGGAGTAATCTTATAAAAAATGCTATTAGTATTTACTGATGGTTCCTCTAATGGGAGAGCAGCTTATGTTATAGATGGCAAAGAGGATGTAGAGCAAACAGCCCAAGTGTCAGCTCAGACAGTCGAGTTATGAGCTGTTGCAAGGGTTTTTCAGCTTCTAGAAAAAGATTCATTTAATTTGTATACTGATAGTTGTTTTTAAAGCATTTCAAGTAATAGAGACAGTTTCATGCATTGGAACTTGTAATGATCAGGTTAGAATATTGTTTGAGCAAATTCAAAATGAAAATCATCTTATAAAATTGCCATATTGTGTGGGTCACTTAAGAGCTCATTCAAACCTTCCCAGCCCTGTGGCTTAAGGGAATGAGTCAGCGGACAGATGAACAAAATTTGTTGCATTGTCTCAGGTAGAAAGGGCTCAGCAGTCTCATAACTTTCATCATCAGAATAGCAGAAGTCTAAGAAAACAATTTGGTTTAAATACAGAGACTGTCCATCAAATTGTCAAACAGTGTGATGTGTGCCCACGATATTTACCTATAACTAATTTAGGAGTAAACTCTAGAGGCCTACTTCCTAATCATTTGTGGCAAATGGATGTTACTCATATTGCAGAATTTGTCAAGTTAAAATATGTGCACGTGGCAGTTGATATGTATTCAGGCATCTTAATGGCCACTGCACAAACTGGAGAAGCCATTAAGCATGTTGTAAGTCATTGTTTAAAATGTTTTGCTTACATGGTACCCAGGAGAAGGAGAAGGAGACAGGATGTCCTGAATGGATTGGGAGCATGGGGGAGGGGAGAGGGAGTTGGGAGAAAGATAGGGCAAGAAGAGGAAGGCACAGGAAGAAATGGTGGAGCAGGAAGCCTGAGTCTGGGGAAGAATAGAGGAGAGCAGGATGAGAAATGCCATAATAGAGGGAGCCACTATAGGGTGGAAAAGAGATCTGACACTAGCGAGATTTCCAGAGATCCACAAGGATGACACCAACTGGCAATCTAAGCAATAATGGAGAGCCAACCTTAAATGTCCTTCCCTGATAATGAGATTGATGACTACCTTATATGCTATCCTAGAGACTTCCAGTGGCTGATGGTAGCAGAGGTAGACACCCACAGCTAAACACTGAACTGAACTCCTGGAACTCATATGTAGAGACGGAAAAGTCATTAACAAAGGGGTCAAGACTAAGGAACCAGACACCAAAAGGCAGAGATAACAGATTAGCCAGGGAAGCAAGACAACAGACAGATGCTGACCTCAGCTTGAAACAATCTGAGTCCCACCTTCTGCGGTTTCCTACAGTGGTCCCAGCCTTTAGGATAGGTAAGCATCAAGGCAGTGCATACAGAACTCTTTATTGATTCCATGCTTGCTTCTTGTTTATGGGGCTGGGACTGATGGCAAGAGTCAAACACACACCTCAGGAGAAGGCAACAGAAAGCAACCCTCATGGTTGTAGGGACTGGAAAATTGGCCAGGTTAATGAAGGGTTAACTCCTAAATCCTCAAGTAGACTGACAAGCTCTACAGAGGGAACTGGCTTACAAGATGACACCTGAAGAGTTTCATTAGGATAACTATACCAAGAAGCTGCTGTGTACCATTTGCAGACTGCAGCGGATCTGACCTGCAGATGGACTTTTCCGTCACCAACCTCCCCCATTTCCATCCTATCAACTCCTAAAACAACCAGTGCTCCCTGAGTATAGTCTCACTTCCAAGGAGAGACTGCACAACTTCAGTTCTTTTTACTATGGAACAATCGTGTTGTGAAGATGCCAGTCTGGGTCCTTTATGGCCACATCACTTCCATCAACCCCCATCTAACAGCGTCTTCTGGTGCCAGGGATGTGTCTCTCTGGACAGCACAGTAGAACTGACATGTCTGTCTCTTTGAGAGGCTTCTTCCCATCAGTTCAGGGGAGAGGATTTGAAGACCAATCCCTGTTAGGTTTCAGTTTTCCTGAGAAGTCAGCAAGTTTCAATTTCACTTTCCAGTTTCAGTTTCCAAGTGGTGACAGCAAGAGCACATCACAGCTCACAGAGCTGCTTCCCAGCCCTTATATGAGAGTCCACAGGGTGAGAAAGTCCACTAGACAGCAGAGAGTCAAGGCAGAATTCTGAAGAGCACTATCCTGGTAAAATCCCAGACAACTGCTGCCACCTTCACAGCAACTATGGGGTAAGGATTTCCCTGCTCTGCAGTTTGAGTGAACCCAGGACACAGACATTTGTGTGTGGCCAGGTCTGACTGAATCTGCTTGTATTCCTGTGTTCTGTCCTCTGGCTTTTCTTTATGCTGAAGAAAAGGGCGCTAATTGTCCTGAGTGTCCAGGGATTTACTTTAATGGCAATAATATGGGTATGGGGCTCAATGGGAGAAAGGAAGTTTCCTTTAGTTTTTAAGGCTGTCTCACATGTGTAGTTCAAAATATCTTGGGGGAGACTTTAGCATGCTCATCTCACAGAAAGAGAGAATTATCATTGAAACCTACAGGATTGGACAAGGCACTGCTCTACCCACCTCTGTAGCTCAAAAGAAGAAGCTGCTGCTATGAGTGTCCTCCTCTCCAGCTCCTGACCCTAAGCCCCTCATTGTATTTGGATGAATGCAGTCAACACCAATAACTTTTGAGATGCTATTCAAGGTTTCTGTGAGGGGTAATTTCTACCCATCCCTGGCTGAGTTAACCAGTGGATAGGATATATTTTTTTCTTTCCCCCAATAAGAGACAAAAAAAAGTTGAAATTTTATTACATTTGATAAGAGACATTTAAGGTTTTCCCCCCAAGAACTAACTATACCTATATGCATGTATGTATATATTTATATGTAAGTATATTCAAGCACACATATATATAGATATAGCATAAAGTAGGTGGTGCCATTTATGTAAATGTCTGAGACTTTAATGTTTGAAATTTGCCTTTAGGTTTTTAAATGTCAGTCAGTAGAGTTGTTTTCCCTTAAAGGTAGTGCTATCGTGATTGTCTCCACACTTTGGCAACTATTCGTATGTCCTTGGACATAAACCCATTTATAGTAAATGAGTACGAAGGAGGCTGAGAGCTGCTGTTATAGGATGAGACAGAACACAGAGATCACAGTGGAAAAAAAACCACAGCAACAACTGTGGAACGAAGTGAACTAGAGAGCAGAATGCAGTAAGACATGTCAGGTGACAGTCATGGTCAATGGGTCAGTGACAAAGCTGTTCCTGGGTCTCCAAACCCCATCTCTGGAGCAGGTGGCTAGGGCAGTGTTGTGCAAATGAATGCCTGCAGCATGAGAAATGCTGGAGCTCTCCAACTGCACTAGGATCCTGAGCAACCACGTGGGCAGTGGGGTCCTGGCTCTTCCCTGTTCATGTTGCCCACTAAGATGGCTGCTGCCTCTGTGCTGCTCAGCTATCCTGCTACAAGAGCTCATGCACAAGGGCTGTGCCTCCCCCTTGGAGCACAGATTCCCCAGAAGGAGCCTGGTGAGCCTAATGAGCCTAGTGAGCCAAGTAAGGCAGATGTCCCTGGGCAGCTAGTGTCTAGTGTTCAGGAGATCTCAGCTGTCCTGCCAGTGGTTTTATTTCCCAAAAGAAGAGGGAAAATCTCTAATCGTAGCTGGGGGTTGATAAAGGCAAAGAAAGGCAGGATTGAATCCAATGTTCATGGACTATTATGAAACTTCATGCAAGAGAAGGATTACCTGTGCATTTGGTGCTTTCAGAGAGAGACTGAATCAGGGAAGGACAAATGTTGGGGTCTCTGCAAATGCCATGGGCAGCAAAGTAATGATCTGCATGAGGCAAGAAGGAAAATGGTTGAACACAGATTATTTAGCCAGTGTTGTTCACACTCCTAGAGTCTAACCCCAAGCAGTGTGCTGTAAGTATATTTAAGAGCAGTACACTTCAGAACAAAATGTTCCCTGGTGCAATACAATCCATTGTGCACAAGGAGGCAAAATTACATTGAATCTCAACTCCAAGTCCGTTTCACTTCTTCCAAGAAGATGGGTTGTAGAGATAGGTTTCATATATTTTCCAGCAAAGTATCCGTTGTGGTGTCAGTCATACAAATAGCATAGAGGTCACTTGGGGTCTTAAGCACCACCCACCCTGATTTTGGGAGGTTGGGGGAGGCTCTGGCCATACAAATAAGACAAAGGTCACCTAGACCATTGATCATCTCTGGTCCTGCTGTGGAACTTAATGTTCTCTGGCTCTACAGATAGCACAACCACCAAGTTATTCATGGCCTCTCTTTCAAGACTTTCTGGGTGGAAAAAGAAGCCATACATTTCTCCCTTTGAAGAGACCTTCTTGAGTGTTTATCATCTCTGGTTTCCTTAGTGCCTGCTGAACAGACAGACACAGAGACAGAAGGGAGAAATACAGAGAGAGATGGAAAATCAGACAGACAGACAGACAGACAGACAGACAGACAGGCAAAGACTGAGAAAACAGAAATGTCTTAAGTTTTTATCTCTTTCCAGCCTGGCTTATGAAATGTTATATGTAAAGACATAAGTCCAGGAACAACTGCCAAGCATTCCAGGGGCACTTTTTAACTATCCAAACACTTATGTCCAACATCAAAGAACTGGGCCAGTGGCACATGATTAGAAACAGAAACAAAGACATTTCATTACAAAATAGATCTCTGAAAATAGAATGCACGATCGAGCAGAGGGATCATCCCAAAGAACACTGGGTCATGAGGCTCATGACTGTTTAGATGGCATGAACAAAGAGTCCTGTATCTTCTCCAGGTTGGTACATCAAGGACATTTCAAGCATCCTCTGTCCATTACTTGAAGCACAGGGAAGGAAGGGCTGCCAGTGTTCCTCTGAAAACAGGCCTTGTTCATATTTGTTGGTGCTTCTCTCTGTGGCCCCCAATCTCAAGCCACTCTCCATGAGGTCTGAAATGCCATGTGAAACAGGGCAGGAAGCCTCCCAATTGCTCCCCTTGGAGACTTAGAATGATGCTGGACAGGTGGCTCAGTGTGTAAAGGGCTTGTCAAGCCAGCATGAAGACGACAATCTCAGTCTCAGTCTCAGATCTACTGAGAGAAGACCTGCAAACCACCAGAATTTCCTTCTCAAAAAGACAGGCAAGTGAAGACCAGTGCCTAATGCTGTCCTCTGGCCTTCTTATGCATGCCTTGGTGTTAGTATGAATCACACACACACACACACACACACACACTTTGAATGACAGGTGAAAAGGGGGATTATGGAGAGAACAAGGCATAGAAAATGCCCCTAAAACAAAGTTATTTGCACTGGGTGGTGGTGGTGCACGCCTTTAATCCCAGCACTCAGGAGGCAGAGGCAGGCAGATCTCTTCGAGTTTCAGATCAACCTGATCTACAAGAGCTACTTCCAGAACAGTCTCCAAAAACACAGAGAAACCCTGCCTCGAAACCCATCCCCCAAAAAAGCAGTCACTATGACTGCTTTAAACATTGGTTTTTGCTTTTCCTTAATTCCCTTTAATGTATTCTCCCACATGATATTTTGATTATTTCTGAGATTACAATCTAATTATTTTGCACTCTTTCCTTTCCCTTTTCAAGCCCCTCACATATTATCCTCCCTGCTCCTCTACAAATCCATGACCTCCTTTTTTTGTTAATTGTGTTTGATTGCATGTATATATAAACATATATGTGTGTGTGTGTATACATACACATATACTCCTAAATATCATGTCCTGTCCATAGAATATTTCTTTTTTTTTCTTTTTTTTCTTTTTTTTTTTTGGTTTTTTTCGAGACAGGGTTTCTCTGTGGCTTTGGAGGCTGTCCTGGAACTAGCTCTTGTAGACCAGGCTGGCCTCGAACTCACAGAGATCCGCCTGCCTCTGCCTCCCAAGTGCTGGGATTAAAGGCATGCGCCACCAACGCCCGGCTGAATATTTCTTGTTGTGTGTGAGATCAAGGTTGGACATCCGGCACTGGACAACCAATGGCTGTGCTCTTCCTGAGCAACACCACCTCTCCAACTCCCAGCCCCATAGTTTGTTCGTTGTTCTGAGGGTTCATGGGCTTTTCCGTCTCTGGTTTGGTATGTTTCCTGTTCTTTGTTGTCATTCTAATTCAGCTCAAATTTTTCACTCATATTGGTGAAATGTTCAAAAGAGTCGGAGATGAACTGTATCTCTAATCTTATGTAGAGAAATGGCATCCAAAACTAATGAAAAGATTGTAAGATTCCCCAAATGGAAGTAACACCTATCCACCTATCCCCTTAATAAGATAGGTACTTCTCTAACCCCAAAGACTCTGTGTCAAAGTACTTACATCTAGATTCTAGCTTCTAAGATTCCCTACTTTTAATAAAAGAGTCACTTACCTTTTCTTTTTCGATTTCCTTTCCCAGAATGCCTTGGACAAGGTTTGATCTGACATTTATAACTTGTTAAGTTACAGAGAACAAACTCTGTTGTGTAAGTCACTGTGCCCATAGAATTTTCCTTTTGCAGCCTAGGCAGAGGGACTCAGCCATGACATTATGTTTTGTCTTGGATCTTTTTGTAACCCCATCATCTGTAATATATTTGCCTTTATCTCTGACAGGGATACTCAGGCTGGCATTATATGTGTTGATTATTTTAGGTTATATTGAGTTCAGTTCTATGATATCAAGAGTATTTTGATTACTGGATCATCTTGGAGATTTTTGAGCATATTGCTCAGTCACACAAAGCTTCCTTTGAGTGGATGGTGCTGCATTCTGGTCTTGAAGTATCCAAAACAGGAGTTCATGGACCATAGCTGGGGGTTTTCAGAAAGAAGACATATTCTGGGGTTATAAGTGAGAACTTAACTGAAAGAAAGAAAGACAAAGTTCCTAGAGTAGAAGCAAACCTAAAGGGGGGGCTATCAGTGGTCCCCAGCACTTTGGTTATGACATTATCTGGGTAGAGGCATGGGAGATGGGTGAGGTAGTCAGTCCAACTGGCTGAGTCATGATATGTCTAGATGGCTGTCATTTTGTGTTTGTCTACCCTTAAGTGCTCCAAGCTAGACTGCTCTTTTATGGTAAAGACCCAACTGGGTATCACACCTCCTGCTACTGTTCTTAGCATCTGAACAATTCAAAGTCACAGTCACCTTATTGAAACACCATGGCATCTGTTGTCTGCAGCAGACACAGCTGATGAACCAAGTGCCTTTGTGTCTTCTAGCCATGGAAGTATTCAAAGCTGCTTGCAATGGGGTACCTACACAAAACCTGAGTGACTAAATCCTACCAATTACTCTTAACACTGATAGAAGTGAAGAAAACTCCCAAAGAGTTTATGGTATATTTTATATTTATAGCCTCACTAACCCCCCAAATAGAAGAGATGGGAATACTGATGTCATTCCCACTTCACAGATGGGTGTGGTGTGATTGATACTGAGTCATGCTGTGATATACATTCAGGAAGTGCTTGTTCTGCTCTTTAAGAAGACAAGAAAATGCATGAAGTTTGAATAAACATTTAAAAAGGCAGGTATTTCATAGTAACTGCAGGAGAGGACAGTAAAGTTGGTCAGTCCATAGAAGTCTGCCACCAAATACGCCCAGAAATAAAGGGTCCAGAGAACAGTCATGTCACTAGTGTGACAAGACACTTGTGACATCATTCCAGTTCCTTGTTTGTGTCTGATATGAAAGCACAGACCCTGCAAAGACTTTTCCTCCATAATCAATTTTTAAAGCATGGACAGATTCTATTAATGTCAGTCTAGGTGGCACACACTCTTACACATAGGGCTCAAAGACATTGAGAAAGGGGGAATGTTTTTTTAGGGTTCCAAACCTCAGGGCAGGAGTCTGACATGTATGTTTGCGTGTCTATACCTGTGGGACCATGTCCAGTCTTGACTGAAATGATTAACTTATCCTCCAAGATCGTAAGTCCACGTGTGTGTACATGCATGCACAAGGAGTCTCTGGCAGTTCAAATAAATGGAGCAGAGGGATTGATATGAAAAAAAAACCAAGAACTTCTAAAGGAACAAAACGTCAGGTTTTCAGAAAAGAGAAGAATGTTGTAAAATGTGCTTTGCTTGGTGTCAATTTCTGCTCATTTCTCACATGACAAACCATCCTGCTTCATTGTCACAGAGACCATGCTGGTGATGCCCAGGTGGAGGAGAAGCTGCTTCAGCTGAGATGTCACTTCACATGGGGACTGCTGATTGAAGACATTGGCATACCTGATCTGGAAATGAGAATCTGGGAAGAGCTTGAGTTCCTTGACATCAATAACCCAGTGCGGATGCACAACCTGCTGGCCTACGTGAGGCACCTGAAAGGCCAGCATGAGGAAGCCCTGCAGAGCTTGAAAGAAGCAGAAGCCTTGACCCAGAGGGAACAGCTAGAGAAGAGAAGCCTGGTGACCTGGGGAAACTGTGCCTGGGTGAATTACCACAGGGGCAGCTTGGTAGAAGCCCAGACCTACCTGGACAAGGTGGAGAACGCTTGCGAAGAATTTGCAAGCCCCTTCCGCTACAGGATGGAGTGTGCCGAGATGGACTGTGAGGAAGGCTGGGCCTTGCTGAAGTGTGGAGGACAGAATTATAGACGAGCCATGGCCTGCTTTGCAAAGGCTCTGGAAGTGGATCCTGAAAACCCTGAATACAACACTGGCTATGCTGTTGCAACCTATCGTGTAGACTTTGATGAGGACTGTATTTCTCTGGAACCCCTCAGGAAGGCTGTCAGGTTAAATCCAGGAGATCCGTATCTAAAAGTTTATCTTGCCCTGAAGCTTCAGGATGGGGGAGAAACAGCTGAAGCAGAAACACACATTGGAGAAGCTCTCAGTAGCACATCCTGCCAAACCTACGTCTTTCGCTATGCAGCCAAGTATTACCGAAGGAAAGGCTGCATAGACAAAGCTCTAGATCTCCTACACAGGGCCTTGCAGGCATCACCTGATTCTGCCTACCTGCATTACCAAATAGGACTCTGCTACAGGAAACAAATGATCCCACAGAAGGCATCCAGAAACAGGCAGCTCAGAAGGCAGGGCATCATGCAAGAATTGGCACAACAGGCTATTTGTGAATTTCAAAGGACTGTGGAACTGAGGCCCACATTTGAGATGGCTTATGTTTACATGGCTGAAATACAGGCAGACATTCATCAATACGAAGAAGCAGAGGCAAATTTCCAGAAGGTTCTGAACATGAGGAACCTTGAATGTCACATAGAGCAGGATGTTCATTTCCGCTATGCCCGTTACCAACAATTTCATCAGAAATCAGAAGACAAGGCGATCACCCACTATTTAAAAGGTTTAAAGACAGGAGAAAAGACCTTTGCCTGGAGGAAACTTCTCACAGCTTTGGAGAAAGTGGTTGAAAGACGTGTTGACCACAATGTTCTACCTGTGGAGAGCATTGGCCTCCTTGGGTTAGTCCACAAACTGAGAGGGAACATGCAGGAGGCCCTGCTGTGCTATGAGAGGGCCCTGAGGCTCACTGGGGAGATGAATCCTGAGTTTTGAATGCAGCTCTACTCTGTGAAGTTGATATACTCATCACTGAGGTTGCTGCTCTCCTTCCTGAAGTTGTCTCCAGAACTGCATAGCTTGCTGAAATGCCAAGTTCCTAACGCATTTGCTCCTGCCACCTCTTTCTCACCACTCGTTGTCATTGTTAGGTCTAAAGGAACTTCTGTGACCACTACACTTGTTCACTTAGTGACCAGTTCTGACTCCTGCTGTTCTATAATCCTTTAACTCCATGTTTTTTTCTCATGTCTATGCCTTAGGTAGGAAAGTGTTCTATCCTCTGCCTGCTAGTGTTCTGGACAAAGAAGACTTCTCCAACATGGTTTAATTTTGGAACACCAGAAACTCTTACTAAAGTATAATTTCAGAGCAAAACAAATGATCAATGGAGAGAGTTTGAAAGCAGTAGGTGTCTCACATTAGTGGGTACTTATTAATCCAGAAAACTTTAAGTGTGTTAGAGATAGAAGGAATGCCTTCCTTAGGTTGCATGTACTGAGAACTATATAAATAACTTTATTCTATATTTGTATGCTAAGAATATTCAGTCAAAGCAGCTTCAATAACAAATTTGCTATATCTTGTTGGTGACATTTTAAAAGATGAAATTGTATGTTTGTATAGTATCTTGCTTATCTTTTGTTCTCAGCTTGAAATATTCTGAGGTCATCTGGAAAGACTTGCTCCCATCAGACTGGCTTATGGGTATATTACGGGGTTTTTGTTTTGATTCTTACCTGTTGAGGACACAGCCCACTGTGGTGGGTTTCATCCCTAGGCAGGTCATCTTAACATGTATAAGATATCTAGCTGTGCATTTTCCAGTAAGTAAAACCAGCAAGCAGAATTCCTTCATGATTCCTACTGTTTCCTGCCTTGACTTCTTGCCCTGAGTTTCTTCAGTAATTGATTGTTATCTTGAAGTTTAAGTCAAATAAACATCTTCCCAGTTGTTTTTTGAATATGGCATTATCACAGCAATAGGAAGCATATTAGAACACATAGAATCATGGAAGAGCAAAAACAATGAATGTAACTAGCAGGCAGAGAGAAAAATTGTGTTTTTTCAAGATCTGTTGTTCGTAAGATGCCATGGGAATACATAACAGTGACAAATAGTAGTTAACATGTCAACCCAGCAGATGTGCAATTTCCTGTTGGGAAGCACCATTTGGAAAAGCTGTAGGGTTCCTGACTGTAAATGACTGGTTGTGTCTGTCTGTAATTTTCTCAAGTGCAGCTGCTATCCCTCCCTAACAATAACGCCTGTGGGGTTCTTTCCACAGCCCTTTGGTTGCATGTTTTTATACTTATTGGGCTCACATATAGCTGTGCATGGTCAGGAAGATAATTTCTGTTTAACCTGTATAATTTTGATAAATAGAAATAATGCTAGGATATTTTACATTACTTAGACTGATGTAGGATTCTCAGTCACAAAGACTGTCTTTGTGGACAGCTAATTTTAGACTTCAGAACAAATTCAATGCAGGGTGGTTGCCCCTGGAGATGGATATCTGGTTGCTCCTAGAGACAAATATGAGAAGTCATTTTCCCAGGTGTTTTGCTGATTCAAGGTCAGAGCTTGAAGCAACTTTTGCAGACTTACATGAACTTTCTGGACATAGTCCCTACCACTCAAGGTTCAGCTAATTAACTGATATAGTTAAGTCTTGAATTCCAATGTCATTTTTTGTCTGGGAAAGAGTTACTCACTGGCTGGTCAATGTGACAACCCTAGCCTAAAAGAAAATATGTGACTTATCTTGATTTATTAGAATGGGTCAGGACCTGAAAATGTAACTTATAATTGTCTAAAGTTGGTTTTGAGAGAAGGTGCAGTGGTGTAGAAGTGCAAAGGAAGGATGGAGAGAGAGGAGAGATTTAGAGACCCTGGAGAGTTAATTAGAGAGAAGCTTCTGAGTGGAGCAAGGAGAAGGAATGAGTTTGGAAGGTATGAAAACAGGATCTTGAATAAGGGTTTTTTTTCAAGATGAAGTAAAATTTTCTATCAGAAAGCATCTGTGTTTTCTTATTTTCCCCTGATATATAAAAAGTCTAACCCTCAGATAGATAAGAATTTTTTCCTAATCTCTTGACACATTAATGGAGTTTTTGCTTACCCTGGGTACTGACTGGAGGCTCCCGCCACCCCCAATTAGTGATGGTCTACGTTTATAAACTCTACCAGATAGTTTTGTGTGTGTGTGTGTGTGTGTGTGTAAATGGAAGCAAATTACTTATTTCTATATGACATGAATTGTAAGGTTGATTCATATCACCATCATCCCTAGGGTTGGACAGGCTTATCTAGGTCATTCACACACACATGAGAAACACACAACTGAAACTGTTTTCAGATTTACCCATGATAAGCCAAGAACATGTTTATTGAATACAATCATAGGGAAGCAAAAGATTCATATCACTGTTGATTACTCAGTCTATGAATGAAGTGGTAGAGTAACAGTGGTAGAAGAAGGAAGGGAGAGAGGGTGGGTCATGAAAACTTTACTGACAAGCCAGCATCTTGGAAGGTAGAGGGTTCTCTCTTTCAAGAACCATTTCCCTCTTGCTCCAGGGGAAAATCTTTTGCATGATTTCTCAAAGGAAGATGCACAGGTTAAAGAGGGAGGCCCCTCATGTTTCTATTTCAAACAGGATTATTTTGAAGGGTTATTATCTTATCCCCTTCACATAGGTTCACAGAGTTGAGGACTTCAACAAGATCTGAAAAAGACATTAGTTATCAAAGTTGGTGCACATGTTGAAGTGAACTATCTGATGTTTTTTGTATAGTTTATAAACTGGATTTCCAGCAATCACCCTTCTATATGAGACTTTTTCCATAACTTGTAACTAGGAGGAGCTTAGGATAGGTGAGTTTATGTATTCTTGGCTAACATTAGTTTAGAGTTAATCTATAGAGTCCTGTTGCAGGATCCTAACAGGTGTCCCTTGGGGGTGGGGAAAAGTAGGCACTACATCAAAGACACAGGCATCAGGAAGAAGTTAAGACAACAAGCTCAGTTTATTCCAGCAAAGGATTAGCCTTATATACTCCCCAACCCTGCCCTAGGGCAGAAGATCTACTGAGCTGGCATCTGCTGAGGTGATGTGGTCACTGGCCGTAAGTCCACATCATCTCCTGTCTGCTGTAGTCAAGGCCATTTTTCAAACCCAGGCTGGCTATCAGTTTAGGCTGGCTGCCAGGCCCATTGAGGCTGTCTATATATCTATCTATCTATCTATCTATCTATCTATCTATCTATTTTTTACAGGGCACACTCAGTGGAAGCAAGGGTGCTTTGCCTTGACCTTGTTGTACCCAGCTCAGGAGGGCTTGGCATAATGGACTGTGTCAAATAGACTCTTACCCGTCTTTGACTACCAGCCCTAGAAGAGCATCCATTCCAGCAAACTGTCAGGGTGGTGGGTCAGGCAGTAGCCTTTGGTATCTCAGTAAGCCGTACATGCATTGTCTCTCTAGGATGATTTCATTCTGAGTCACCTTGGTTGACAAATATGGTACAGAAGACATTTAAACAAGAGAAAAATCAGCAGCACCCCCCTCCCACCAGAAAAACATATATAAGGATCCAGGAGAGATCAAAGAGTCTTTCTAAATTGCTCCACACACTTGTCAAAAAATCAGTCTCCAAGGCCATTAATGGGACCCTAGTTATGTTTAATCAATGAACTTTATCTGGAAGCATTATGGAGTAGTTGGAGAACGTGTCCTACCAAGTCTCTTTTATGTATTGTGTCAATCAGAATCTTTCTGAGGAAGTGTTGAAAGCCTTGTAGGGGTGAGACATGTCCTTTATCAAAGCCAATTCCTCAGCCAAAAGGTCAACTTGCTGTTGTAATACATGTATAGCCTGATAAAGATGCAAGTGCACTGCTCATTGCCTAAAACCTGTTTGAAGGGTGGCAAATTTGGACCAGACTCATTGGCTGCTCTTTGAATGAAGGAGAGATCAGCCAAAGAAGTGGGGATCCATGAATGAATGGCTGCATTAGGGCCAATGTTCACCAGAAAGGCCATGGTTAAACCCTGTGGTATCACAGTTGAGACAGGTAGAGAGACTAGCAAAGTGTTCGCTGCAATGGGCAGCCATCCTGGTAGGTTCCCCCCGTGGGTACTGCTGGGGAGGCAATGTCTTTTAACCCCCATCACTGTGCCACCCACACAGAGGAATATCTTCTTCCTCATACTTATTAGGAGTCCTTTCAGCTCTTTGGGGTTTCATTTGTTCTTCTTTCTCCTCCTGGGGGTATAGTCTATCCTTTGTTATCCAAATTCTTTTCATTCACAGACTTGCTTAGTGGAAATTTTAATCTTCCTGGACTAAGTCCCAGGGAAAACACTGCACTAACCAGTCACTCTTATCTACAGTTTGGACCAGAGAAAAACACAGAAACTGGAGGCCATAGAAGAATGTGTACCTCTCCCTATATATGTACCTCTTCATATATATGGAAGTAAAATCATGAAAAAATAGATGAAATTTAGTAATATTTCCCTATGAGGAATAGCAATGCAGGATTGAAGCCTTTGTGACATAATCCTACCCCTCAGGCAAGATGTATTCATTTTTATTTTATGTATATGGGTGCTTGCCTACATGTATGTATGTTTACCGCACATGCCCTTGGTGCCTTCAAAGTCCCAAAGAGGACATCAGCTCCTCTGAGACTAGAATTACAGAGCATTGTAAGCTATTAGGAACTGAACTCCAGTCCTCTTCGAGATCAGCAAGCACTCTTAACTACTGAGTCATCCCCCTAAACCATAAGCAGCATCCTTTAAATTGTGAAACCCACTCATAGGTTTCTGGAACACTAATCATTGAAGCATGGGGTTATACACTACTATTGAATGTCCTAGACAATATCACTAATAGCCTCTAAGTCCTGAAAGAAATGATATTCATTTAAAACAGCTTAGCTTTGTTTTTTTTTCCGTTTGTTTTGTATTTGATATGTATGGGTGTTTTCTCTGCAAGTATGTCTGTGTAGCACATATGTGCAATGCCCATGAAGCCAGAAGAGGGTGTCAGATTCCCTGGGGATGGAGTAACAGCTGTGAGATGCCATGGATATGTTGGGAATAAAACCCTGGTCCTTTGGAAGAGTAGCGACTGCTAACCATTTCTCCAGAAGCTAAATCAAATTTTTGTTTTGCTCTTTTGTTATTTGTTACTTAATCTACTTTTTTTTTTTTGGTTTTACGAGACAGGGTTTCTCTGTATTGTTTTGGAGGCGGTCAGTCCAGCCTGGCCTCTTGAGCATGCTTTTTGCCCAGAGTTCAGGTTTTACGTTTTACAAAATTTTGAAGACAGTTATTCTTAAATTTGTTGTTTCCTTTGTAAGGGCTCAGGCATTATGATGGCCTTCCCCTGTCACCTGGCAGAATGCTCTCAAATAGTACCCTTGTCAGCCCAGGGGTCCATGATTGTGTAGTTTGCACATAGGTGCAAGGGACCCCTTTAAAAGACAGACCCCGCCCACTTACACTGTCTTCTCTTTCTCTCTCTCTTTCCCTCTGTTTGCCTGGGGTAGGCAGGACTTTTCCTGTCTCCCTCTTCTCTTTAGTTCTCTCTCTCTCTCTCTCAGTGTGTGTGTGTGTATGTGTGTGTGTGTGTGTGTGTGTGTGTGTGTGTGCATCTCTTTACCTCTTTTCTCTTTCCTTCCCCCTTCCCTCCCCTTTCTAATGAAACTTCTCACTTAAGCTCTGTCTGCCTGGTGTGTTTGTCCCCCTGCCTCGGTCACCCTCACCTGCCATGGAACCCGCCAAGGTTCCCCTCACACTTTATCATAACACCCATCCCACAGAGGATAATTTATCACTGTAAAGAATGTTCTGGAAGAGCCTGCTTTTCTTGTTTTCCTGGGCAAAGAGTTTAACAATTACTTAGTTTGCCTGATAGGGATTTGGGTAACCAAAGCATGCAAAGAA